CCACCTGTCACCACCTCCCACACTCTTCCACCTGTCACCCCCTCCCTCACACACACTCTGTCACCTGTCTCCACCCTTGGACAATTATATTTTAAAAAAAATATTCCACACCCCTGCACATGCAGACACGCACTAACGCTCAATACACATATGCATTCACACTGACACTATATACAAAATAGCAAATGTAGTCATCCAGACATTCACACAGACTCAGATACAAACATGCAATGATTCACAGGTCTTCACAATATACACATCCAAAGGAATGCCGTATTATAGGAGAGTTATATTTAACATTTATTTAATGCACATATATTTGGCCTTCAAAGGGCCTGGGATCTAATTTTGCCCGGGGGCCCCAAAGGCTCTCAGTCTGCCCCTGATCAAACCTCCCACATTCTGAGTAAAACAATACCCCCAATGTATGGCTCTGTCACGGTCACTTGAAGTTACAGTGCTGTCTGTAACTGTCAAAAAACTGAAATAATGAGATCTCTTGATCTCATTATTTCAGTTTTTTGACAGTTACAATTTTGATAGAGGAATATGATGGGTCGGTGTCTCATTTTGGGCATTCCTGTTAGATCAAATCACCCCATAAACCAGTGGTTCACAAATCTTTTAGGGTCAAGGCGCACTTAATTTTTCAGTATTTTTTCAATGCACCACAAGTCAAAATTTCTAGGTTGTATATCTGTACAGCGCTGCGGCATTTACTGTTGCTATAGTGTAATGTACAGTGTTGGTGTTTGAAGGGGTGCTTATATATATATATATATATATATATATATATATATATGCTTATAGGAGTGTATACATTTATTGTGTTTTAATACAGGAGTGTGTTTGGATGTAATTCTTGCGTTTGATTGCAGGGGTATGTCTGAATGCGGTTGTGTATCCTGGTTTTATGCTACCTAGGCATGACAAAACTCAGGCACTCCCCCTCCCCCTTCTAAATACACATGCACACTCACTGACAGACACATATACACTCAGTATCAGACACACACATTCACTGACAGACACACATACACTTGCTAACAGACATACACACTCACTAACAGACACATACAGTCACTAACAAACACACACTCACTAACAGACACGCATACACACTCATTAACAGACACACATACTAACAGTCACTAACAGACACATAAACACACTAGCACACTCACTAACAGACACACACATAGTAACACACTCACTAACAGACACACACACTGACACACACACTCTCACTAACAGACACACAAAGTCAGTAACAGGCACACTCTCACTAACAGACATGCATACACACTCACTAACAAACATGCATATACACTAACAGACACACACACTAACACACTCTCTAACAGACACACACATACTAACACATTCAATAACAGACACACACGCACACACACAATCACTAACATACACACACATACTAATACACTCACTAACAGACACACACACATTTTTTAAATTTACCTTTGGGAGTGCTGGGGTGGATTCTCGCTTTCCCTGGGGTCCAGTGGGGCTGCTGGGCGGCCGGCCGGTCACTGCAGTCGGCGAGAGAGCACTGATCCTCCTGTTCAGCTCCCGCGCGCCGCGTAGTGATGCCAGGGACAGAGTGACGTCCTATTCCGGCTCCAGAATCACTGCGGTGCGCGCCAGGGAGCTGAACAGCATGATCAGTGCTCCCGCGCTGCCTGCCCGGAAAGTACCGCTGCTGCCAGCCTCGGGGGGCCCTAAGGTGGCCAGCGGGCCCCCAGGACAAGAGGCTGGCAAGGCATTTGCCAGGGAGATTAGGGGGTGGCTTTTATTGCTGCTCCCCATTAAGTGCCAACCAAGCCAAATACCTTGGGGTAAATACACCCCTGTCTGAATGTAATGTTCACTTTTAAATGTGGATGTTCATTTGTGTGAAGTATTTGTCTTGGAGTGAAGGAGTGTATTTGTATGTAATATTTGAGACTGCGCGCGGGGGAGGAGAGACATCACAGCTTCCTTTTCATTACTACTATTCGCGCAGCCAGCCGCCCACCCTGCACAATCACCCAGCATGCCGCCCGACTCCATAATCCTCCAACTTGCTGCACGCCTGAACGATCCCCCAGCATGCCACCAGCCTGCACAATCTCCTGGCCG